AAAGTTTACTGAAGGGGGGGAGGGGGAGGGGTTGAATTTAATACTACTTTAGAATGCCTTCATATTAATACAGCATATGACGTTGCTGTTCTTGATAAAAAGATTTTTTAAAAAACTTTTCTTCCTATACTCTCACTAGTCATTGCTTTGAAGTACATGTACCTATGAAGACTATTTTTATAAAGATTTTTCCTATATAGTCCTATGTAAAACTTTGATCAGCCAATGTGGCCCCACCCTACCCCAGGGGTCATGATTTGAACAAACTTGAATCTACACTACATGAGGATGCTTCCACATGAGTTTCATCTTTCCTGGCCCAGTGGTTCTTGAGAAGAAGATTTTTAAAGATTTTTCCTATATATTCCTATGTAAAACTTTGATCGGCCATTGTGACCCCCGGGGTCATGATTTAAACAAAGTTGAATCTAACACTACCTGAGGATGCTTCCACATGAGTTTCATCTTTCCTGGACCAGTGGTTCTTGAAAAGAAGATTTTTAAAGATTTTCCTTATATACTCCTATGTAAAACTTTGATCGGCCATTGTGGCCCCACCTCTCCCCCGGGGGTCATGATTTTTTAAAGATTTTCCTTATATACTTCTATGTAAAACTTTGATAGGCCATTGTGGCCCCACCCTACCCCCGGGGGTCATGATTTGAACAAATTTGAATCTACACTACCTGAGGATGCTTCCAAACGAGTTTCATCTTTCTTGGCCCAGTGGTTCCTGAGAAGAAGATTTTTTAAAAATGCCATTAATTTTTCACTAATTCATAATCATCTCCCCTTGGAAGAGGGCATGGCCCTTCATTTGAACAAACTTGAATCCCCTTCACCTAAGGATACTTTCTGCCAAGTTTGGTTGAAATTGGCCCAGTGGTTCTTGAGAAGAAGTCGAAAATAAGAAAAGTTAACGACGATGACAATGACAACGCCGACGACAGAGAACAGACAAATTTTGATCAGCCTTTGGCTCAGGTGAGCTTAAAAGTTATGCATTGTCTTTCTATTTATGAAAATTGATTTTAATTTAAATCTCTGATTCTTCCTCCCGAAATGTAGATTGCTGTTGCCATTACTAGAATATTCCTGCTCACTAAAAGGCTTTTAAATCTATACTTTGTATTGAGAAAAATCAAACACCGAGTCCTTAATTCTTATCATTAAGTAAGTCGTACCTGTATTCTTCAACCTGATGTACACAGTACTTTCGTGGTGTAATGATTATCAATGATAGCTAATGCGTAAATGTACACCCTATTTTAATTTTCAATGCGCATTTTGTAAAATTCAATGTATATTTCTGCAAATACACATCTTATCTGGAGCTCTGTTAAATAACGTCAAAATTTGGAATGAGCACCTTCCTACCCTACAAATGAATGTAGTAATGTACCATATCTAAGTGCTTCATTAAAACGGAAGCAGTTTTTGATGGGCTTCCACCAATGAGATTTGTTGTTTTAAAATTGACTACATTAAAACTTTAGTAGAACAAGTAAGAAAGTCTTACTCAGTCAAAATGTCTCCAAATAAGATCACTAAAAATTGAATGCGTACCTTGGCGCCAACATCGATTGATTTAGTGCACCATTTTTCACTTCAATGCGACTATGGAGCATGGTGCAAGCCCTTCCCAATCACTGCCTACATTGGGATTTGAACCGGTGACATAAGGATCAACTCCTTACTTCGTGACTCTATAGCACACGCTATAACCACTGTGCCACATGGGCGACTATTGTTGGGTTGTATCATGGCCGCAATGATTTAACCAATTGTTCTACCTTTGTTTTTATACATTTGACAACCTAATTTATACACAAGGCTTATGGTACAGCGCCGTCTCAAAAGTATTCGCGAAAAAACATAATGGCAGATTTTTTATTTTAAAGTTTCAAGTAAAAAATGATTCTTACCCCATTATTCGTCGATTGTTGATTAAATTTAGAGTTATCCCGCGTATTCTTATCACATGACCAATGACCTAATCTAATGACGTATCACCGTTTTTGTCTGCTATTTTTATCCATGATTAATTTCCAACATGGGACACAAGTCAAAAGAAATTAGCAATGAGGTTAAAAAACTGGTCGTTGATTTAAAACAAGAGAGACACAGAAACTTTGAAATTGAGAGATTGTTGAATTTATCTGAGTCAACAATTCGATCTATATGGAAAAGATTTATTAACAACAGAAATGTTGAAAATACGCCTCGAACTGGCAGGCCTCCAAAAGTTACAAAGCGGGGAGAGAGTAGACTTTTGAGACTCATAAGAGGTAAACGTGAGAGACTGTTGCGAGATATTGCTGCGGATTTTAATACAGGGGGAGCAGTACACGTTCACCATAAGACTGTCCAACGAATTTTACATAGGAAGAAGGTTTTCAGGGGAGTTGTGAGGAAGAAAATGGTCGTGAGGAGTGTAAACAAAAGAAAACGACTTTCGTGGTGTCTTGCGGAAGGAGATGGACAGTTAAGAACGAATGGAAGCAAATTATATTCAGTGATGAATCACAGATCGTGATAGGACAAAATAATCGTGTATATGTATGCCAATCTGCAAATGAGGCTTACCGTCCGCAGTGCATGTGTCCTCGACCTAAGAAGCGAGTGTCAATAATGATATGGAGTTGTATAACATGGCATGGCATCGGAACTTTGAGCAATGTTGATAGAAATATAAATGCTGTATAAAAGTACAAAGAAATCCTGGAAAACAATCTCTGGTCTGTTTTAGCCCGTCATTTCTCTAACAGAACTTACCGGTTTCAGGACGATAATGCCCCTGTGCATCGCACACGAATTATTGAAGAATATAAACGTGACAATAATATAAACTGTTTGACATGGCCTGTCCAGTCACCAGATTCAAACATAATAGAAAATATATGGCTTCGCATAAAAAATTATCTTCAAAACACTGCCCGAAACATAAAAACTCCAGATGAACTTTTCAACGCCATTTACGATCTATGGACTTCCTATCAACCAAATTATGTCAAGAACTTGTACTATTCACCACCAAGGAGAATTATGGCAGTTATTCGATCGAAATGGTTGCTTGACAAAATATTAAAGTAAGTGTTTCTAATTTTTTAATAATTATTTCGCCCCAAAACTTTCGAGACGGACTTTGTTTATAATGTCCGCCATTTCGTATTTCCGCGAATACTTTTGAGGTGGCGCTGTAGATGTGACTGACTGACTTGCAATGCTTACTTTTCCTACACACCGGAGACCACTTCTGTACTTTCTGGGGGGTCTGTGTTTACTACACCTTGTTCACAAATCTGTTTGAAAACTTTCTGAGATCATGCTCACTTTTTGTTATCTTTTCCTTTTTCATATTTTACATGTTTAAAATAAACTTCCAGCTTTGTTTTGTTTTAAAGGGTAAATATTGTAAATACTGAAAAAATAAGACAAATACATTTGAAAAGTTTTATGAGCTTTGAACATTCATTGCGTCCAAATCATGCATAAGAAGCATTTTGCCAAAGGCAAGAACCAAACTGTTTGCCTTGGGTCATCTGGTCAAAGAACCAAATTTTTAACATAAGGCAGACTAACCCTGAAACTGGTCATGCACATATTGTTTTGAAACCTTAAATTATATTATTATACCTTTACTGTAATTACTCTATATAAAATTAATACCATAAAACTGTCTATTTCACCGAGAAGAGACTACTACCCTCAACTGAAGACTACTCCCTGGAAAATCAGAGCTACTCCCTGGGACTACTCCCTCATGAATATTTATTAGTAATTTTAACCAATCAAAGTGTTCAGTAGGTGGAGCGCTCAAGGAATCTCAAGTCTGTGACATCATGTTATTAGCAATGTAACTATGACGTCAAAACATTTCGACATGCGATGCCAAAATCATACTTGAATTTTAGCAAATTGAAGACAACGATAATTCTTCGAAATGTCAGTGAAAATACTTTTAAAAATAATTTAATTGTTTTAGGACACGATGTATTACTTATCATACAATGTGTTAAACGGCATGCATTTGTAATAATGCCTCTACTTTTTGTTTTTTTTTAACGTTGGGGTATCTGGTAAAAAAACTAAATGGCCTATGATTGTTTCAGTATAATAAAACAGTTATGGAATGGGAACTCGGGAAATAGCAAATTTATGGTTCCCCTCGGTAGGAAATAGTTTCCTCCCTTGGGGAACCATAAATTTGCTATTTCTCTCGTACCCATTCCATAACTGTATACTACTTCACAATTGAAAATAAGATAGAACTAACTCAGTAATTGACTCAATTTCCAAAAATGATCCCAGCTTAACTTGGAATTATCAAATATATTTTTAGAAGAAATAACAATCCAACATCTTGTATACCTATCAAACATTTCACAAAATGGTCCACATATTTTCGGAATGCACATTTGAACATTGGAAATTATTTGAAGAAGAGAAGAGGCACGAGACAAAAATTGGTGTTATTAACATATCTATTCCATGTGGGAGGAAAAAACCTGATGACCAGGATTGAAAACATAGTTACATATAGCTGTTTGTTTCTATTCAATACTAAAGAATGAAAAACCATTCATGATCTTCCTTCTCAATATTTGTCAACAATTGATAATAGTAACATTATGCAATAAATAATCGAGCTTCCGTTCAACGCTTCGTGAAAGGAAACTATTAGTTGTGTGGAACTGAAATAGTCACGTGCTTCGAATCCAAAACGAGGCTGGGTTTCTGCGTATGATTTATAGCAATATCTCATTAATCACCCGTCATCCCCCCGCCCAAATTTTACATGCCGTTACATATAGAAAACTAAAATTTGCACAAACCAGAAACCAATGTCGCCATTTTGATTTAACGTTATATTGACCATCAACATTAACATCGTAGGAGATCACTGTTTACACATCTATTCTCTAAACACATAATATTTTCTTTGTCTTCAATCAATTTAACGTTTACAATATAAAAAAAATAAAATGACAACAACATACCTCACTGGGCAAAATCCTTATCACTCGTCACAACACTCCCATGCGCGTCTCTTCGCCATTGTGGAGTCAGCGAATATGATGAAAGCGGCCTCGTTTTGATATCATTTGAAGTACAAAGTCACGTGATGAATACGTCATTTTTTTTCTTCACAACTGCGTCGTGTGAGGAAGTGGGAATGGTGGAGTTGCGGATTATATTGCAATGCATAATGCTTAGCCATATATATTAAACCATCCGGTTTAATCTTGTAATGTACGTAACACGTAAAATGAAGACTTTTTGAAAGGGACAAAAATGAAATTAAAAGAAGAAAAATATATATTCAGGTTAGGTATGATTAACGTCCACAGGATAATTTTTAATAAAAGTCAGGATCCCTCAGCTCTCATGTATTTAATTTATATAAAATGCGTTGTTGCAAAAAAGTCAGCATAAATTATTGTGGATAAGAATAAAATTATTGACGTATCTGAATCTTGACAATATGCGCAGTGTAGCTGCGCGCTAACGTTACGCCCCAAGGTACTTAGACTAGGTAGTGAAGAATTGTGGTCATGAATTGTTATATATAAGAGAGTTCGTCTTCTCATCGATCGCAGCAGACGACTTTTAACTCCGTTACGATTGGTCGGTGCATACACCATCACGGTAATCAGGTAATCTGTTTACCAAACCGACGCTCTATTTTTAGAGCATTCGACAATCCTAAGCTTTATTCGAGGAATAATATAGACTCGCGTCAATGCGGTCGGTGGCGGACTTCCTATATAAAATGAATTAATAGAGCTTGGTGATAGCTCTCTTTAATGGACATATGCACCCACTGTCATTTATCCGACCACCATCACGTGAATAAACTTATATAGACAGTCCACCTGGGATATGGCTCACATATTTGATCACCATCTCGATATTCAAGAGGGTCCACAATTAAAGCAGATATCCTTCAATTTTCAACACTTAATATTCGCGTTACACTAACTGAGTTTCACGAGATTTCACGGACGTCCAATTATCAATCGAAAGATCTGCAGATTTTTTCGTCAATTGTGTTGAGCAATCATGAATTTTTTTTAAAAAAGATTTGTGTTATTTGTATTTTTTACTTTGAGAGTTGAAATTAATTAATGCCGCTCTTCATATGCCAAAAGAGATTTTTTTAAATTTGATTTTTGTAATACGAAATTGTTATGGTTTCATAGTAATCTTAAAGGGTTAAAACATACAGAAAATTTATAGGTATCGGAGATCCATGGAAATATATGGAGTGAAACATATGGAGATAACGAACAGTGTTCCGGATAAAAAATCCATAAAACAATACAAAATAGGGGCAGAGCAAACACGGACCTCCAAAACATCAGAAATGGGATCAGGTGCCATGGAGGAATGAGCATCCCCTGCCGACCGGTCACATCCGCCGTGTGCTCCTTTTCATGATTGAATCCGTCGTCAATTCAGTGTATAAATAATGGACTAACAATAAGTATGAAAAACGTCAGTTAGCATTTGATAAATTGTATTTGCTGAGAAGGTCATTGTATCGACCAAAGAACTTACGAAAAGATGACTTTAAACGAGACTGCTTATATATAACCTCTTTATGCAGGTGATGGATGTATATTAGTAAGGGAAGTTGACGACTGTAAAGTTAAAGTCCCCATGTTTATCATAGAGCGTGGTTGTTAGATTACATTTAACGTCTCTTTCAAGTAAATTATCCAAATATGAAACATATGTGCCTGACTCTGTGGTATCTTTTATCTCAAGCTCACCAGGATATATCTATCGACGTAAGCAAAGGAATCACCATTGTTACTTGACAATTACTTAACCCGTCGATATATCTAACTGTCGACTTGAAGGCCACAGTAAGTGCTTTCCTCTTTTCACTTTTAAGATTTTGGACAAATTTTGCTTCATTTGAAGACAGAAATAGGTCTGCGAATAACAGGGCACAATTGGTACCGATGGGAAGACTTAAATTGTTGGTCTCCAAAAACCACATAGATATTGTCAATCAGAAAGTCAAGCATCTTTTTGATGTCATCTTCATAGTACTTGTGTGTACAATTGGAATGTTTTTAACAAAATATTTTTGCAAATGCTCTATCCAATGCGCCACACAGGTGACATAAGGCATCTATAGGAAGATTAGGTATTCATTTGGAAGCAATTTTATTCTGACATGCAGATTTGTTATTTTTGTTTGATTCCAACGGACTATTGTGAATGTTACACAAAGTGCATTAGCAATGTCTTTTATTTTAAATCTAGCATCCTCGTATATTACAGCATCAAATTAGCACATCATCTTAAATTGGATAACACCATAGATATTTATAGAATGACACATTATCTTCAAAATATTCGTCCAATGATATTTTTTCATTCCCGAGACTATACATGCAGCCAAAAAATGTACCGAATACAGACATCGTCATTTACATATATCGAACGTCATCAATAAATTCCAATCACAATTCAGGAAAAAATGGACAGCACCATAGTGATAGGCCTATGGTTTGTGGGGGCGCAGCCTTGGCTAGCGAAGATGGTTCAGTGGACTTTTACAGTCGACGGCTTACTTTGTCATTTAAATTGCACTGTGTACGGATGCTCGTAATTGAAAAAGGAAAAGAATGCCTAGTGTGCGTAAGTTTGGTTATGATGAAGCTGTGGACTGCAAAATGCAGCGCTTCTCACATAAGTCCAAATGCAGTCCATTTTTAAACTCTCCTTCATCACTTCTAATTTTCAATTCACAAAAATTTACTACATTAAATTAGCATTTCTGTTTATTTCACTGGATCTTATCATCAATCTTCTTGGTTTTTGTATTCTAATCGCAGTTTTTCACCAAAACTCGCATCGTCATCTTCTAGACCGGTCACGGTAACCTAGTGGTAGAGCCTTCGCCTCGTGATTGGGAGGCCCGGGTTCGATTCTCGTTCGCGGCACCGCGTCAAACCTAAGACGTAAACATAGGTAGTGACTGTTCCTTCGCTAAACGCTCGGCATCACAAGTGAAAGACACGGGTCTTTCGGATATGACCTTAAAAACGTGGGTCCCGTGTCACGGTGAGCGTTGGCATGGTAAAGAACCCTCACTGCTCAATGGCCCTGAGTGCTGAGTATAGGTTTAAATTTGAAGCCCTTCATTGGCATACAGTGAAGAATTCTCGAGTGGGACAACATACAATCATTCAATCTTCTTCTTCTTTCTCTTATTTGAATTCTTTTCTTTATTGCAATTATCTTTAAAATGGTGGAGTTTCAATATGACTGAAAAAGTTGAAGGGAAATTAAACAAACAAACAAATAAATAAACGTAAAAAATGTTTAAAGTTAGGGTTTGACTTTAACATCTTCCCACGACGATTCACATTGACATGCTTCTTCGTCGAACGCTGCTTTAAAGTATTAACACACTGGTAATGTGAAAACTACATGTACATGTAAATATTACAAGCTGATGCAACTACGAAGGAATGTTGATTCTCGTAGTTGTTCAAGAAGGATTGAGAACGTAATAACGCAATAATGAAAGACTATTGTACTACGGTACGATAGTGAGATTACGATGGTCACGTCAAAGGTCAAATTCTATCAACCAATCACATTGTCGTCTGCAAAATCATCGTGTATTTGTTGAAGTGAATAAGTCTCGAGTTGTTCCGAACTTGTTCCGAACTTGACCTTTGACGTAACCCTCTTTGGAATGTTGTTTGATGTTTGTGTAGCGAGTATTCGAGCAGATCTAACATCTAATTTTTATTAGATTGCAGATTACCTACTTGGACAAAACTTGCACAATTGTTGCATCAAGGGAGGGACGCTAACTCTGCTCTGGATACTGTCCTACTGATCTGACCTATATTTTTCAGATGAATGATCAGGTTAAAATGATTTTGGAGCAGCTAGGTCCATTCCAAGTTAACTAAAGACCTACCTTGAGGTAAACTTACTTGGAAAATGAATAGATCTATACTTTTCTGATGAGTAACTTGGTTGAAGAATTTCGTAGCAGTTCCATTCCCAAAAAAGTATAAGACAAACCTTGATTAAACTTTCTACAGGGATGGATATCGGGTCTGGTCTATATTTTCCAAATCAGTGAATATTTTACCTCCCTGAATTAATCTAACATTGGTTATTTGTCTTGAGATGAACATTAGGCGAGTTGCTTCGGATACTACCTAATCTGCTTCAAATGCTGCATGGTCTCAGACCTATATATTTTCTAGATGAGTGAATATTTTCCGTACCTAAATCAACCGCACATGGATGATGTGTCTTGATTTGGACATTGAAAGAATTGCTTTGGATACTTGATCTGACCAATTTTTCTAAATGACTGACCAGGGTAGCTTTGGAATTAGCTCATAAACGATATGGCCTGCAATGATGAACTTGCATTGATGATGAACAAGGGTTAGACAACACCAGACTTGCTTCGGATATTGGAAGTAACCTGCATTTCATGTAAGAGTGAACATGTAGATGTTTTAGAGCAGATCTATTCCCATATAACTATGCCTCACTTCAATCAAACTTGCATGGCTATTGATCTCAGGATGAAACCAAACTACAAAAAGGATGTCATATTTGCCTCCCTAACAGATAAAATTTGTCAAAGTGAACTTAACAAAATGCAGACTCCTTTACATACTTAGGCAGTATCGTCACAGCCACTGGTGGAACAGATGAAGACATAAAAGCTAGAATTAATAAAGCCAGACACATCTTCACCACCCACAAGCCTGTGTGGAGTTCAACAGCACTATCCACACACATAAAACTCTGCATCTACAACACCAATGTTAAGTCTGTGCTCCTCTATGGGTCTGAAACATGGAGAGTCACCAACGCCACCTCCAGCAAACTACAAACCTTCGCTAACAGATGTCTGCGCCACATATTAAACATCAGATGGCCAGAAACTATAAGCAACAAGAACCTGTGGGAAAAAACAAACCAAGACCCAATCACTAAACAAATAGCCCGCAGAAAGTGGCGATGGATTGGACATACCCTCCGAAAACCACCAGGAGACATTACACGCCACTCACTCGAGTGGAACCCACAAGGCAAACGGCGAGTTGGGCGTCCCAGGAAAACTT